CCTCGCCTGGCGTCTATCACGGAGAAACTTTCCACGGGGAACCAAGAGCATACGTCGTTAATCTAACGCTATCTGTTGCGATTAGTCTGTAGAATTTGTTACCGGAGAAAGATTTATCCACTCCGCGGTGGTTCGAATAAATTTTCTCATCCGCCGTCCTCTCGCACAGGGTCAGCACAGATTGTATCTACATACCATAGCCGAACCCCATTGCTAAATACAGAAGGAAATTAATTCTCGTTGCAAAAATACTCGCGTGACTTTTGTAAGCGCATAAACGTCTCTGGCGCATGCTTGAAGAAATAAATAATCATCTATATTATCAAGCCTACGTAGATTTTTTTTATTAGCAAAAGAAACAAATTTTCCCTTCGCGGCGATTAGAATCTATTTTAACCCATGTCCGCCCCGATGCGCGCTTATTATTACGAAACTTTCAGTAATTTCATAGTAAGTGCACATAAAGTATGTAAGCGCCTGTCTGTGATACGAAATAAACAATTTTATCTGAAAATCATTTAGAATATAGGATAAGTTAATTGTTCAATTTATAAAATAAGTAAATTTATCATATATTTTTTTTAATTTAACTGATGACGAGTTGTGATTTTCGAAAATATAAATTTCATTGACGAACGTTTTTAACTCGTAGTAAAAAATATATTATTCCACCCGCATAGTGTTCCAAGCACAATCATGTCAAGTATCGTGCCGATAAGAAAGGTCATTATCTCATACTAATAAATGTCAATTCAACAATCGTACATTATTGCCCGCCGTTCGATGTTATCAAGTTAGCATTGCGCGATAATAGGACGTGTAACGTGATATATCGACCAATATTTATCGTTGGGTGGTCTGTGCGACCTGTTTGTACCCGGAAATCATGCAACTGCACATTAAATACCAGTGCATTTCTTTTGTGTATATACTTCGAAATAGGTAACTCGAAAGAGAAAACTCGTCACCAATTTCCTTTAGTTAATATGCAAGCGACTTGTAAAAATGTATTATTTAACAAAAAGGTATTATAAAGGATCAGAACTATTCATATTGAATTTTCATAAAAATGTTGTTTATCCAAAAATTTGCTTTAATACTTTCAAAGTACTAATGTATGCACCTAGCAATTAAATAATAATATACGCGTTATAACGGATTGAATCAAAATGATAAATGATCGTTTTTTATTCAACATAACGTAAGTGATTATGTACACAATGTTTGTTATAAGACGTAGCTAATTAAAACTGTTAATTGGCAATTACGATTCATATAAGCTTTAATCGTACTGGCTGGACCCATCTTCGTCGATCGATTGACTCTTGTAATTAAATCTTTTTACGACCAGTTACTCTTGAAATGCGCCCTGGGAGAGATTTCATTATATTATTCGCAGAAATAAAAAATAAATTTTTAAATATACTTCTCTTGCTTGCAAATTCTAAGATGATAACACTGCAAACGTCGCTTTTAATTTTTCTTTAACAAAAGAGAAGAAACGAGAAGCCGCAGAGAAAAGAAGAGAATTCTGGGGTAACAACTACGCAGTGTGAAATACAAGGTTGCACAGCAAAACGCAGAGAGAGAGAGAGAGAGAGAGAGAGAGAGAGAGAGGAGGAAGGGGGGGGAAAAACTGGTGATGGTATCGGTGGTACATGTACTATAATTAGAATACATTCGTATGATTTTATCGTGTGTTGCGATAGTGAATTTTCAGATAATCGCATTATGCAAAATATAATTGCGTTCTACATGAAAAACTGGATGACAATAAATCAATACTTGTATACGAAGAATCAAATTTTTTTAGCATTTAAAAGAGAATTTTCATAAGAAATTTAAACGAATAATATGCATGCGTACAAATTTTCTAAAACTACGATAATTGAATATAGAATAAATATATATTTAGATAAGTTTTAATTAAAATGAGATTATACTTAATCGTATTTTCATGAAAGCTTGTTGTATAATCCCTCTTAGCAACTCGACTTTAGATAATGTCACCTTCGAAAATGATAAGCGCACTTGTTATTATATACACTGGAAAAATCTCACACCGTTATTATTACTATTTATGAGATTTCATTGACGTAGCAGTTGATTTCGTAACATTTCTAAGGTCTCTTGAATCCAAAGTTTGAGTGTGCGATAGCCGATTCCTAAGGTCGTGGTATTTGAATAGAAATATCGCGATCTAACATAAAAGGAATGATAATATTTAACTTCTCTCTTGTTGTATAAACTATCAAGCATTTAATAGAAATGATGCATCAGATATGCCTCAGAACAAGAAATATCTTATAAATGAATTATTATGCTCTATATCTTTCAAAATTAAATCAATTAAAATAATGTGTGCAATTAAATAAAAATTTTTTTTATTACATTTGAGAATTTTTTCTGATTTGTTCTAAATTTCGTTTATAGCAAAATTTTTGAGAGTAAAAAAGATAAGATGTTTTGTATATCATGATTACGATATTTTTTACACCTCACGATATTGCAGTTAACATTAATTATATTTTTGTAACTTGAGAAATAGAGTGGAAAAGGCGTGGATAATCTGTTAAATAACAACGTTATTCTGAAAAAAAAAAAAAAAAACGAATGTAATCTTTCTACATCCGTCTTTATCAAATGTTTATTACCAACAATTATTGCGTTCAATATAGCTGTGTAAAAGTGTAAATATTTTTTTACACACTACCGTTGTATATAAATAGATACGTTACATAATCGCTGCATTCACGCCAATCTGTCTTCTTCATGAGAGTACATGTTTAAGCGCGAACTCTAACTATGAGCTCGTCCACAATCAATGATATGGAACGATTAACATTGACATATTTATAGCAGTTATAAAAATTGATAAATCGACGCCACTCACGTTCGGTATACAAAACGGACCTTGAACTTCTCGACATATTTTCGATAAAATAACTGTTGTCGGTCTTTTAGCAGACAGAAAGATAATCGATCCTCTTTTAAAATGCAAATATATCAATCTGTTAAAACAGTCATGTTGATTTCTAACTTTATTATTAATAATTTATTATTATATAAATTAACATGTTTTAATTTTTAACAGATTTTTTGAGAGTCACTAACGTGACGCTAAAATAATTTTCAGAGAAAGTTTTGAAAAGTTTTGAAAGTTTTGAAACAGTTATAATTCTTGACTAAAAGTATTATGAAATTAATAGTAACATTTCATAAATGTTACTTAACTTTCCTGAAAATCATGCAATTATATATTAATAATATTATCATTGTTGATTGAAAAAGTCAGACAATAAACATTAACATTAACATTAACATGGCAAGATTTGTGCAAGAAACCAACATATCCGCTTATATTTCAAGATAATTTCAATAATTTAAGAAGAAAATTCAAAAACATAGAGAAAAATGAACGAAATGTTATATTTTCATATCGAATTAATAATACCAATATTGTTATGATATGAAGAAAAATATTGAAGCTCATTACATGATGCAAAAATGGAAAATGGAAACTAAAATTTAAATTTGCACGATAAACTAGCATGAAAAAGAACTTGTTGTATAATATATATATATATATATATATATATATATTCTACTATATATATATATATATATATATATATATATATATTATTAATAAAACTTTAATAACAATGTTCTGAGTCAAGAAAAGGAAATTATCGCAGTTATCGCCGTTTGTTGCATCTGCTCGGCAATAAATCCACAGTATCTTCAACAAAGAGTCTGCAGAGTCTGCTTCGACGAGAAGAAGAATTCTTTCATTCATCGTCGTTACAATAACTAAGTATATGGTATATGGAAAATTCTATTACTGCGGATATCAGCATTATTTTCAAGAAGAAATATTTCCGCATAATTCTATTATTAAAAAATGCGATTATTTACGATCGTACGCATATTAATCAAACTCTGTGACGCAAAAATACTGGTAATGAAAATGTTTTATGATCATTGAGAAAAATATAATACGAATGTGTATAATTGTCCGTCGTAAATAAGATATTTCATGATAAAAGATCACCAGTCATAATATGACCGTAATACGTAAAAGACTCACTCACAGCGATATATGACATTTTTACAACAATTCTGATTCAAAGATCAAGCTATCGCTTCAAAGGATTAACAACACACGTTTCGTATGTAAAATTTTCGTGGTAACAAATTTTAAAAAATTTCGATCTTTTCCATGGCAGCATTATATAGCACGTAAAGGTATGTATAATATAAAAGATATATCGTAATCGTAAGCAGCTCGCAACTCCGTTGTGACAGAGAATTGTTTCTTATCGAAACAAATAGAGAATTGTGAAGGTTGCTCGATTGTGAAGGTTGCCGAAGCGACGGCAATTTGCGTATCGTAACGGCCTGTTATCAGCCTCGTCGCCAACGTTATATGGATTACACAATGCAGAGCCGGTGCAATCGAGTGCAGTCTGTGACGATCGTTGTTTTCGATGTCAAGGCGTTCAAAGAGGCCTCTTTGCTATCGGGCCGACCTTCGCGCGGAATGTTAATTCATTCATGTCATGTATCGCCTCGAGAGGAATAACCTTACAGACCGTCATCAACCCTCGGAAAGTCTCACCCAACGCGAGACGCGAGACTGCGAAAATAGTGCACTCGCAAGATGCACCGCACGCAAGTGCAACAAATTGCATAATGAACACTTGTTATGTGTTTCTGTGAAATGTTGCAAGACTTTTAGTCCAGGTCTTGCACGAAAGACATTAAAGACTTGAAATGTGCGATCTGTAACTTGACAAGAGAGACCCACCAACGTTCCGCGATATTGCACTCTTAGAAGAAGACTCTGCTCCGTTTTCCAGACGATCCGCAAGAACATTTTTTTATGTGTTTGTTGTGCAAATTGTTGTGTAAATAAATAAGACTTCAATGTTAGAGACACATTTTCAACGTAGCATTGAAAATGCGCCTGAAAAGAAATAAGCAAAGTATCTATTTACCATCGATTTCGCTTGTTCCGCAGATGTCTTTGACTCATCTTGGATTCCTTTCTGTGTCATGGTCGTTTCTATTCCGCGAATCCGAGTCGAATATCATGTACTAATCGATGCTCCTCATTCAAAAGTTTGCGTGTAGCGGAACTTACGAATCAGTAGTATATTATAGTAGAGGATCTTAGGATCTTTGGACGATCATGAAGTCCCATACAAACCGTTGAGTTTCGATTCGTCAAATGTTGAAGAACACGATCCACACAATTCGATAGGGTGATAGGATTTATTCTTAAATGCAAGATCCATTTTTGCGTCTTCACGCTCGAATTTGTGACACTGAATAAAAGCTTGCTCAGTAAAGTTTCGCTCATGTGATGGTGATTTTACGAATAAAATCAGCGCCCAACGCGATAAGCCATACTGTTTTCGCACATACTCTTTTCCGCTCGTCGTTCGATTTTGAAAGAGTTTTCTCGTACAACTGTCTGGTTCGTGTGTTCGTTTTCCACTGGATCTTTCACGGCAGCCAGTGCCGATACCGACACTGCAACACGGCAGCAACACAAAATTCAAATCGAACGTGTGTCTCTATCGAGATTCGCGTGAACCGAGATTCCCGAACTCGCATCCCCCACCGAAGGATCCCATTGATGGGGTCCCTGAAAAACGATCGCGAAGCAAAGGTGCTCCGACTTCTTTTCAGAACAGATTCTTCCGGGGCTTAACGGGACTTACTATTAAGAGGCCGGTATTCAATTTGAAGAGCAAAATGCAAACGGTTAAACGAAAATTTCTTTTCCCCTTTTTCTTTTCCTTTCACTCGTGGTCGCTCCTCCCGATCAATTTCGGGTTCGCGAGCGGTTGTTGTGAGTAGAATCGGCACTTGACGAACGGCGAACTCTCTTTTCGAAGCGACAAAGTCGCGAAGGCACACCAAGAGGCTCGTATGCGCGAAAGCAGGGACAGGAAAAGGAGCCGGCACGACCGGCCGGCTCTTACGCACACTGACTTCTGACTGGTCGAGCTAGTAGGTGACTCCGGGAATCCCTTCCATATCGCATAGCAACCGCGCTCGTAAGGCGACTGATAACTGCTTGCACTTCGTCAGGCATCGATGGATCTCGCCAAGTACGACGTGTGATATGTGTGCACGTACATACGAATATATACTTCCACAATAAAAGAAAAAAAAGAAAAGCAGAAGAAAGAGGATTGGAGCAGACGACGCAACGAGAAATGGCGCGGGGAGAGGGGTGGAGGCAAGGAAACTTTGATCGATCTGCCGGACTGATCGGAAATAAATGTACCAAACGTACCGGACGAGTGAGAAAGAATTGGATATCTTATCGTTTGGAAAAAATGGAAATGTCAAAAGATGCAGAAATTATCGGGCGTATATATTAGATAAGGAATTTTATTTTTTTTTTTTTCTATTTTTTTCTTTTATTTTTCTTTTTTTACTTCAAAATCGGAAACACACATAATTGGATCGATTCTTTTTCACCTTATTTTCGTCAATATTTTAACATTTAGATGATATAAAAGAAACTTCTAAGTTACTTACGATAACATTTTTATATTTTTTTCAAAATTTTCGATTAAATTTTTTTCCTTTTTTTAAATCATTTTCTAAGAGAATTCAAAACTATCAAACTTATCACCCGTTTGAATTTTTGAAAAAAATTGTTTAATATTTTTGGAGTTTCCACTGGTTACTTTCTTCAAAAAAAAGTTAGTACCCTTAATCTATTATCCATGTCAGATATATTATTAAATGCTAACGTCTGTTGAACATTGCGGTTCACTTCGTCAGGGCGAGGAGCAACCTGATAATGTTGTTCACAACATTATTAGATTGTCACGGATAATACCCGAATATATAGTAAATGTATTAACTTCTGAAAAATTTGTTAATAAGTTGTACGTAAAATATTAAGCAGATCGATGATAGTGGTCAAGAATGCAGATCACTCTTGCATCTCTTCGAGGGTATATATTCGAGGGGATAAATCTCTCTAAGGTCAAGTCTGAAATTGAATTTCTGGCGCTTCTATATAGAGAATCGGCCCTGCGATTCGCCAGGCGATCGAGAAACGACGCGTTCCCTCTCGTCGCGCGCGTCCATGCCTGAAATCGCGTACACACCCAGGAGATAGTAGTTCGCGCGTGCACAGGTCGTAAATCGGCGCGATAGCGCCGCATACAGCGCTGATTTTCAGTCGCCTGGTGAGTCGCCCTGGCACGCATCACGTACCGCCGGTAATAACTATTTTCGTACGCGCGCCTTGCGCACGGAAAACAAAACCGAGATAACACGGTGTACGTTACGTATCCGGCGCGATAAAACGACGCGAGAAGATGCTCCTTCGGCGTGCATCCTTCGGTATTACTGCGCGACAAAGGAGAGAGAGAGAGATTGTAAATCAGCAGGCCGGGGGGGGGAGGGGAGGGGGGAGGGGGGAGGAGAGAGGACGAGAAGAGAGGACGACGTAATATTATTAAATTATGCGACGGCTTTACTTCCTGCCGCGGCATAAAACCTCCTCCTGTCGATCTTATCGCGTGATTTCATCGATTTCCACCGCGACCGAAAACCACCGCCATAAAACGCCTACGTCGCCGGCACTTCCGGATGTAACTGTACTTGACCTACACGCCGACTTATCTTGTATCTAATTGCGAGTCTAAATGTCGCGCTACGAAGCTGATTTTTTTTTTTTTTTTTTTAGATATATAAGATATCGGTTAAAAGTAAGGTGACAAAATCTCATCTTTGCATCTCTGCGAAAGAGAATCGCACCCCCTGAAATCCTATCGGGGCGAGTTCTCTCCGCGATAACGCATCCACTTTTTACACAACAAACGTTGAACTCCCGCTCGGAAATGAACAATAGAATGGATTACATGCGATATCACATCCCCCGGTATCTCTTCTTTTTCTCTCTTTTTCTCATTCGCCACAATGGTATCATCGAGATCGTGCTAATAACGAACAAACGACGTCGTTATTACCGGTGTACCGCCGCGCCGGATGGATGAAAATGCGGTCGGACGATTGGCCATTGCACTCGACGATGCACCGCGAGACAGAATCGACCCTCCACCTCCGTCCCTTCTCTTCCCTCCGCCCGTCTCGTTTCATTTTTTCTTTTTTTTCTTCTCAGCGACTGTGTAACCACTCCCTGCCCGGTTCTGTCGGGCGTTCGCCATCTGCAAGAACGCGTCGACCTACCGTGGATCGTCACGCACGATCGACGCAACCGGCACGACACGTTGTAGCTTGTTTCTCTTTCTTGCGGCGGTTATTTAAGCTCCCACGGCGGTTAAAGTCGACACGTGATAATGCAAAATGATAGTGTTTTCTCAATTTCATTAAATCTCCCTTCGAAAAAAATCCATCCTAATTGTATTAAAAGGAAGTGTCTAATTAAGACACAGAAAGAGAAATCGCTCTTAACCTCTAACAGGGGATCGAGAGAAGTTGAAAAGCGTGAAACGCTTTTATATAAAATATTTCTACGTACGACGCAGAAAGAATTTAGAATTTATCTGAGTTTGTCAAGTGATTCATCTTGTATGACCGCTTGTTGAACGCTACAAGTGGCGGATAAATATTTGACTTACATAAAAGTATTTGATTTTTAATAAAAAAAAAATAAAAGTTTTCTATATATACATGTTGTCATCAACTATTGCTACTATCAAAAAATAATGTCGATAGAATAGCTAGAAAAAACTGAGTAAATAATAAACATTGAAAGATATTTTTATACTAATTTTATACTAATTACTATTTAAAAATTAGCTATACTATATACTTACTTTTAAAAGTAGATATGATAATTTTTAAATAGTAATAAATTATTAGTTTTATCAAAATTGATAATCAATTGATAATCAATTTGATCAAAATGAGAATAAATGTTATTAAATTGGCATTGCAAAAATATTTTCTTTTTTTTAATTTTAACTGCGAATAACATAAATAAAAAAGGTAATTAATATAAATATAATTATATATATTAATATAATTATATATATAATATAATATAATATATATATATTATATATATAATATATATAAATATAATTATATATATTAATATAATTATATATAAATTATATTTAATATAATTATAATTTAA